TAATAATAATAAATGAAAATAAAACCATAAAGACAACACTACAAATTGTGTTCTAAGGCCAGAGAGAAAAGATGAGTTTTAAGAAGGGGTTTAAAAACAACCATGGACGGCGCCTGTCTGATGTCCAAAGGAAGGTCGTTCCATAATTTAGGAGCTGCCACAGAAAAAGCACGGTCACCTCTAAGCTTACGCTTTGTCTTGGGCACAGTCAGGAGCAGCTGATCAGCTGACCTGAGGGATCGAGAGGGCCTATAGGGTTGTAGCAGATCAGACAGATACGGCGAAGCAAGACCATTAAGAGCTTTAACAGCAAATAACAAAACTTTAAAACAAATCCTAAAATATACGGGCAGCCAGTGCAGGGAGGCTAAAACATGGGAAACATGATCAAACTTTGGTGTGCCACTTAAAAGACGTGCAGCGGCATTTTGTACCCTCTGCAGCTGTGAGATGCAGGACTCCTGTATAAAGTGCGTTACAGTAGTCCAGCCGAGCGGTAACAAAAGCGTGGACTACTGTTTCAAAATGTTTCTGGGAAAGAATTGGCTTTACTTTAGCCAGCTGCCTCAGATGATTGCTTGATTTCACAACTGTTCTGATGTGGTTCCCAGCATCAACTTTTACTTTTCTTTCTTCTCAGTCTGATGTTGGTTGAGACAGAACTGAGACATGGAAACTGCTGAGTATACAGAGGTGTTCTGATTTTCTCTTGTTCTGCAGGTCAGAATGGAATTAACCAAAGTTTCACTGAAAAAACAGAAGAGCCTAAAACCAGAGAAGAGTTTCTGCAGTGTGAGTTCAGCTCCTTCATCATGTTAATCACTGATTAGTGCTGGTCACAGTAACTTTGTCTTGTAAATGATCTCAGACGCCTGCGACCTTCTTCTGGATCCGATGACGGCTCATAAAGACCTGACCCTTTCAGGAGACWAAGAGGTGATGCTGTGCCCCCAGACTGGTCCGACCCCACCCATCCATTCCTCACAGAGGTTCATCCATCGGCGGCAGATTCTCTGCAGGGATGGCCTGCAGGGCAGCAGGTGTTACTATGAAGTGGAAATAAAAGGAGACAAGGCAGAGATCGCCCTCACTTACAAGGGAATCGACAGAAAATCCAGCTCTAAAACTTCAGCCTTTGGAGCAAACGCTAACTCTTGGAGTTTGGACCKCTCCACTTCTTACTCTGTGAGCCACCGAGGTGAAAGCGTCCAGCTCACAACGCGTCCCCGTAACCCGAGGGTTGGCGTTTATCTGAATTTTGAAACAGGAACTCTGTCTTTCTTTGAGGTGCAGCAGGGCAAAATGGAGTTTCTTTACAGGGTGGAGGCTCGGTTCACCGAGCCACTGTACCCGGGCTTCTGGCTCGGAGACAAATGTTGCATCAGGATCTGTGATTTGAAACAATAAAATGAGAAGAGGAGCGTAGAAAGCTTTTACTCTCAGGGATTCCAAGCTGTTGTTTGGTTTAAATGAAGCCATCTTAATGGGACAATATAATATATATATATTTTTATTGACGTAGGGTCTGAGGTCAGGTTAGAAGCTATTATCTAACCTCAGTTCAAAAAGTCTGAACTATTGTTTCAAACAAAACCTGAGCTTTGGTTCATTTTATTGAGGCGTGATAAAGGATTTTATTTTGTAGGAGCTCTTTCATTGCAGCAGAAAACTTTGCACTGATCACATTAATGTCACTTTTATTTTCTTATTTTCTGTGTTTATGAAATGTTTATGCTAGTTTAATGTTTGTTTTTGTATCTTTTGCACCTTAAAAACATGTCAGGATTGTCTTGGTGACGTCTGCAGGCACACACATGACATTTGAGGCAAACTTACCTGATGAGTTCTCATAAATACTGAACAACATGAGGTAAATTCACCACTTTTCCATTTATTTCAACTGCTTTCTGAAGCACATTTATTACAAATAAAGCATTCCTGAACACCATCTTTGTTTAAATTTGTAAATTAATAAGTAAATGCTGCAGAAGCACATCTTTGGGTTGTTTCAAACCATAAAAAGTCTGGTTTTAGTAGAATTAATAACTATAGTTCTTCTCCTTTTGAATTTATCTGAGATCATTTGATTTAAATCTTTACAAGATGTATTTAAAAATCAAATAAACTGAACAAAATGTTTTTTTAAATGAAGAAAGGTATATTGTGTCTGTAAACAGCTGCAGAGATCCAACACCAGTTTGTTCACTCTTTATTATTTTTACATGTTCAACACTTTTACAATAATTACCATCATACAATCATATAACTGAGGAGAAGGAATTAGAAGCAATAAAGGGACATTTCTAGTGTTTCCTGTACATTTAGTGCTTTAAACATGTGCTCAGTAAGGCTTTACACACACCAGACTGACTCACACACACACATTTTTCAAAAAATATGCACACACACACTTAATTCATAATATATCCCTGTAGTTATATTAGGTGGTTTTTCTATTATTAGACACAGGTGAGACTTCCTATCCTCCAGTTATTCTGCAGGATAAATATTGCTTCACACAAACCTTCACTGCTATTAGAACAAAACAAAACTTTTATTTGCTGTCTGGTGAAAAGAAAGTGCAGAAGTCACATTCATCAATACTTGGGTAACGTTTACTGCTAACCCTGACACGACAAAGATAAAGGTAGTAATCACTGAAAAAGTTTGTTTATGTAGGAATATTTACAGATTTATTTATGTGATCTGCTCTGTTTCAGTGTTTTAAAGGCACAGTGTGTAGGATTTGTTGTTTTCAGCGACATCTAGTGGTTGAATCATCCTCCCTGGTCCSCCCCCACCCATGCTATGGTGTCTCTCAGGTGTCAAAAACCTTTGATAATTCCAACCGCGATGTCTACCAGCAGCTTCAGGGCTGGTGATGTTTCAAGTGGTAAGATTATGAGCTTTAATAAGTAAAATTATCCCAGCTACAATGACAGAYAACAAATATTACATTTATAGTATTACAACTAAAACCGTTTTTGACGCCGCCACCGCAGTTTGTCCTTCATGAGCCTTCGTAGACAAGATGGCGGTGCAAGATGGCGGCTGCCTATATTGGCGACCCGCGACCATGGAGATATAAACAGCTTTTTATAAAGTAAAAATAATAAAACAAGGTCTTTGCAATGATTAGACATGTTTTTTATTGTTGTCATTAGTGATTATCTCAATTTCGGCTAAAAGATTTGACAAAATCCTACACACTGTTCCTTTAAAACCAAAAACGAGACAAAAAGATGTAAAGTTGAAATCAGTCTCATTGATCTGTTAACAATAAAGACAATGGAGTCTCCAACATGTTTCAAACATAACGAATGAGACATTTCTGTGCTTGTGTGTTGACAACAGAAATCAGAAAGAGCAAGACCAAACAGACTTGATTTACGGACTCCGACCGGCGGAGGGATGATGGGTGTTTTGTGACTTTATTTCACTTATTTGACTGTCACTGTGTTGTGTCTGCCTCAGACTGTGTCGGCCCGAGTAGAGTTGAAGCAGGTCGTGGTCAAACTGAACAATGGAAAACAACAACACAAAAACATCTTAACTGTTAGCTCCTAGGATCTCTCTGCTGTCTGCTGCAGGTAAGATACTGACTATGTGTTTGCTCATTCAGGTCTGATTTAAACTATTTCTCCAAACTGGAGTGGTTCAAAGAGAAGTCTGTGGTAGGTAAGATCATAAATTTGACACAAAAATTCACTTTAAATGGAAAATAGTTTTATGGTTTCTCTTCTTCTCTCGACAGCTGACCAACTTTCAGGCCAAAAAATTCAATCAGATTTTTTCAGTAACCTTGGGAATATAGTGTGGAAAATTAAACAGAATCGACTTTGGTTATACTTTTCTGTTTTTGTTGCTTTTTTAAGTCAAATAATTGGTCTTTTTTACTTGATTTGCTGGATTGTGATTAAATGTATATCTATATAATAAATGAAAAACGTTGGCAGAAAATAAGGCCTAAGAAATAAATTTTGATTATGAATTTTTCTAAACTTGTTTTTTCTTTATGCATTATTTTTTGTATTTTCTAAATGCTGCATTATTTTTTGTATTTTCTAAATGCTGCATCAAACATAATTTGGAAAAGAACGTTTGTATTTCTTTTTGGATTATTTGTTTAAAAAAACTTCTTCTCAAGAATCATTGACTGATCTGTATTTGGCTTGGACTGAGTTTTGAATTTTGGCCATCTTGTGTAACTGAGTTTAACACAAAATGTCAAAACTGAAAGTAAAGATTTGTACTTTTTTCTTGCTTTAATTCAGAGCTGAAAWGTTTGTTGTTTCATTTAACTGATTACTAATTTGGGTCGGTCATTAAATTGAGATAAATAAAATCAGAATTAACAACTGAAATGTTTTCCTGACTTGTCGTAGCTTTCCTTATTTCCTTCTGCAAATTTAAAATGTAAATTTTTAGAAGCCAGCTGAAATTAGCTGCAGTTAAACTGCTGTTGTGTTTGAAAACTACTAACCCAGTAAATCAGAGGTAAATAAAGGATCACCTGACATGTGATAAAGGTACAGGAAGCCCCGGTAAGACCWCAGCGACGTTAATGTCCAGCAACGTTTTCACATCTTACAAGAACGAGCAAAACACCAACAATGAAACAAATAAATCTTAACACGTGAAACAAAATATAAATACATACACTTTATATATATATATATATCACTTTAAAGATAAATCACACCTTGTTTACAGCAAAATTACAGAATAAATATTCATATACTGCCTTTGTTTCCATCACCACAATAAAAAAAATAAATAAATGTTTATTTTCTCTGTTTAACAGTAACTTTAATGTGCTCAGGTTGAACGGTTCTATTCAAGTATTTACTATCAGTGTGTACAAAAAATAAAGAGCAGAAAGACATTCTAAAAATAATGTTAGTAGTACTCGACAAGTACAAGAAACCTGCATGTTTGTGCTGGATGTCTAAGGCTTWTTGGAGCTCATCTGATGAGTTGGATTTTTGTACAGTAGTTTTCTAATTGTTTTGGTCTATTTTCGTCCTTTTTTCTTTGTTTTGTTTCAGTCACAGCTGACACAGTTTGTGCAGTTCGGTTTCTGCTCTTATACAAACACATCGCGCRTACACTGATCTGATGGCAGCCGAAAGCTTGAAATGTGCTTTAATGTTCAAAATGTTAGAATAATCAGAGTTAGTAAATATTTATGCACAATACTTGTGTCAGATTTCTTTTGTGCTGTCGTGGTATCGAACAACAATCAAACTGTGGGTTTGCTTCAGATTCACTTGAACAAATTGTGCCTTAAAAGCTCACAGAAGTAAAAGAAAATACACACTTATGTTTATAAAACTAACTGTACGGTAGTTTATTTTGAAAGCARCTCAACATGTAGTCTTTTTTTTGTTTGTTTTTTTGAAGTGAGGTTTTGTGGACAGATAATAAACAATGAATATCTTACCTGTTGTAGATTGCTTCTTGAACGCCCTCAGTTTAGAGAAATGATGAGCTAATGACTAGCATGATCAAAGTGGAAATATATTGCCCCAAAACAACCCCAGTCTAAATAATTTCTTAGCATTTTATCCAAACTCTTTTTTGTAAACATTTGCACCATTAATTTTACATAACTACATTACTCATGCAGAAATATTTTCTTGCATGAATTAACTACAGCGATCTGCTACTAGTTTGCAAATATTCACATTTTCATGTAAATAGTCATTTAGGTAAAATCTACAGCTACATGAAGGTTCATAAATCAACGTTTGTTAATGAGTTATTGATTTTGAAATTAAGCAAAGAAGATCTAAAACAGGTACGATGTTAACTGTTTATACTCTTTCCACAGAATCCCACTTCATAAAACTCAACCTATTGCTTCAAAATTATTATTTTTTGTGCTAAATTTAAAATGTTTTATGTACTTTTTTACTCTTTGTTAAAAAAACAAAAGAACATTGTTTTCTTTATAGAACTCGTAACAGTATGTGTCATGGACGTCATGGATGAGGACTTTGCTGCTTTGATCTCCACATAGGAGAAATTACGTTATCTTAGCTCTTACTACTAGACTTTACACTATTATTTACAAAAATAACAAGGACTGGTACATAAACTCCTGCAGGAGGTTTGACTTTGGGTGAAAATAAAACATAAATAAGTGTCTTCAGAGCAGCTTTTTGTAACATTTTGTGACATGGACTCATGTAAAAGGAGATTCTAGACTAAAGTGTGTGCATGTCTGTGTTCAGTTCAGACCCACTGCATATTATCTGACAGAAAATAACTTGGATTACGTTGTGCTGTTTATGGCTTTGACAGTCAGGATTGTTACGGACGTTTGGTTTTATGGGTTTAAATAACCAAACATTCGTTTGCCTCAGTTGTCTGAGTGAAAATCAATCATCTTTTATGGGTTTTTGTCTGCTTAAGATCCTTAAACTGAAGAAAAGGGGAGCAGATCAAAGAAATCCCCTCCAAACATATTCAGATGTTATCATTTTGGCATTTTACCTCTAAGCCAAGTTCTTGTCCAGATGATGAGCGACATGGAGACATTTCTACATTCAGGCTGTTCCATAGGTGATGCTTTAAGAAGCATGTGCTTGTATATAAACTTTATGGCTTCATGTGATGTCAGCGGGGGCAGTGATGGGAATCCTTGGTGGGAAGTGCGTGCAAGAGGGGTCTTCAGGAGTCCGACTCTGGTGTAACAGGTGTAACAGGTGTCGGTGGCGTCGTTGGTGTGGTGGGGCTTATCGCAGCATTTTGGTAGCTCGTACCGTAGCAGACGTTTGGAGAAAGAGAATTAGGGTCCAAAGACGTGTTCCCCCTTGGAGTAACGTAGGGTCTGCGTCCTGGACCTGACAACGGGGCCTCGCCGGCCTTGGCACCGAGGATGAACCTGGCCTCGTCCTGCTCCTCGAGGTTGGAAATGTCCTTCATCATGGATTTGCGGTACGTGACGGACAGCTTGTTGGAGCCGTCGGTCATCAGGTTAAAGTGGCGGGCGATGAAGATGACGGGAAGAGGAAGCATGGCCAGAACGATCAGAGCAAAGCACATGACCAGAGCCCAGGGGGGGTAGCTCTGGAAGCGCTCCTGGGCCTAAAGAAATGGAGATTCAAGTCAAAGCTCAAACAATCAGTAAAGATGACCTTAATCTGCTTTTACAAATACAGTGGTGGGCAGCGCTAATCCAAAAATTAGCTCCGCAATTTCTAAAGCGCTTATGAAAATATTTAGGTCCACAACATCAAAATTGCTTACACCATAGAAAAACTAGCAGAAGGTAATTTTGATGCGCAAGTTCAATTTGACACTTACTAGCTGGCAACAATTCATGTACAATATATGCACAACACTGCCAACTAGCGGTGTATGAACTCTTTTACAGCTTATTCCTACAATCGCCGATTGCTGGGGATGTGAATTCCTGAAACAGACCTTTAGCTCCTGGTGTAAAAATTTAAAAGTTGTTGAGGATTGCTAGTTCGGCTGCTTCTTTGTCTTTTTCTTTTGTTTGTTGTAGATTTTTCATTAAAGAAGCATCAATAAAGTAATTTTAAAACTGCTTATTGGAACACTGAAGTGATGCATTCTGGGTACATGACGGATTTGATTTGTGATGGGAAACGAAAGCATGGAGTACAGGAAACTATTTGCAAACTTCAAACTAAGAGCCTGGATTTTAAAGTTTTCCATTTAGTTGCTCCTATTGACCACTAAATGTCTGTCTAACCCCGTTGGCCAATTGCTTCGACCAATTACATCAAGTATTGAGCTCCAGCGTTTAAATTTTATTTTTTTTTAAAAAGGGAGCTCCGATTGTAAAGTAAAATAAATCAATACATACAAAATTTTTGTATGGATTACAAAGGTTTACTGTTTTTGCTGGGAAAGGGAGTTCTAAACACTGCCTTCCTGCTACGTAAGCAGACACAAAGCATTGTGGGAAATGAGAACCGTGGTCGAAAGCAACAGTCTGCAAGGATGTAAACGTTTCCAATAAGTGTGTTTATCATTAGCGGTACTGCATTTTAACTTTAGAAAGTGCAAATCTGTTTATGAATCATAAAAATTAGCAAGACCGCTAAAGCGCACACGAAATATTTAGGTCCGCAATTAGCCGATTTGCGCTTTAGCGGACTGGTGCCCACCACTGCAAATACATGTTTGAACAATGCTCCAGCAATTCTTGAAGGAATGATTGCCTATTTTAAGACCACACACACACACACAAACACACACACACACACACACACACACACACACACACACACACACACACACACACACA